TTGTAGAAGACGAAAGATAGAAAGGATCTCCACCAGGAAAACACTCTGTTGACACCTAAAATTTTAAAGCCCCCAATTTTCCCATGTTTAGCACTGATGTGGAGTGTTTAATTTGATCACGATTCTAGATTTAGCCAATGTATGGACTTTGAAACCAGAATCAGAATGAGCAGGAAGATTGATAGGGTTCAGAAATAGTAAGTAGGCATTGAGAACTTTTAGTACTATGGGATTTTTTTTTTCCCCCTAAAATTGTCCTGAAAATGTTCCTGAAAGATTTCAGAGAGAGAAGTAATAAATGCAATTAACAAATAATTGAAATAAATAATTCAAAAAATAATTTCAGAGAGGGAAGAAGTCAGGTCATTCCTAGGGTCATGTTTCTGTATGGTAGATATCAAAGAAAGACCTAGCTTAACATCTTGAGATTAGATTATTTCCTGGTGCTTCAGTGAAATTCCTTCCACAGCTACATAACTGTTTTTAAATATTCAAATCTATTAGTGAAAACACAATGGATTTTGTCACCTTAATTGATATTTTATTTCCACATATTGGCTGTCAGTTTAGTTACAAGAATCAGTTCATCTCTTGTATTTGTTGGCACTTTAATGAGAAAATATCTATATGAGAATGATCAATTCATGGGTTTTGGCATTCAGCAATCTGAGTCCCTAAACTTGTTAATTGAGATTCTTGATTGAAGACTTTACATAGCTCTTCTCTTGAGCAACCTAAAGCATAAGAAATTAATGCATCCTATGGGAAATGCAAAATGCATTGATCATTTTAATAGACCTGGAATACATTTTCTTCATTCCTGTTCCTTTGGTCCAAAATTTTAAACTAGAATGTAAAATTTACATACTTACTTTTGGGTAGGGGGGCCCACATTTACAAGCTCATGTGAAAGTTCACTACTTTAAAGTAGTTTTGATGGAAGTGTTTGGCTTATGTTATATAAATATGTTCAGCCTATTTAAAGCTAGCTGTTGTCATTGTTTTTAGAACTATTTTATTGCTGTTACTGTTCTGTTACTCTTTTCTTTTGTTTATGTCACTTCTTCCAAAACTCAGATATGGTTAGTTTCTGCTCACATGTTAGCATTTTTCAGGGCTTGACAGATAGTGAATAATACTCAGTGAAACCTGAGACAGTTTATTTAATTGCCTTGGCATCAGTTTCATTAACTGTAAATGAATATGTGATGATCCCTTAGGAAAGCAATTCTGAAATTGGGGATGAGATGACAGGAGAAAGGTGACTTTCAAATTACATCCCCTCTCATTGCATCTAACAAGAGATGTTACTGATAGGCATGTATTATGCGTGGTTTCAAAGTAGAGAAAAGAAAGGTTGCAATTCTTTTTTAGTCCTTTATTGCTTCTAGAATTTATGATTTCTCTGTTCATAATCTTTCCATGTTATTCCACGTCAACAAAAGCAAATGACTCATTTTTAGAAAACTTAGTCTGCTTTGAATCCTGTCAGTTGCTGAAGAAAGGGACAAAAACACTTTAAGATGTTGAAATTGAGATAAGTCAATAATTATGACTTCTGTTTATTGATTCAGTTTTTCATTTTTATTCACAAAGTAATTTTGCCTTCACAGTAAGTGAAAGAAAAGTTGTTTCTACCTACCTCAGAGAAATACAAAGGGGAGTTTTACTTTTAACCTTTATTTATTAACTTTCATTTTTAACCTTCTTTCTGACAACATACTCTTTTTAACACATTAACTCATATCCCTGTCCCCCACTCTGTGTCTGTGTGTGTGTATTTATCTTCCTATGCATCCTGTCAATACTTATACTAATAAACCATTTTTACTAATAAAAACAGCCCAGACTTTGGAAAGTAAACTTTGTGGCTTGCTTTTTTTTTTATTCCACTTATTCTAATAAAAAAAAAAATATTTTAAGCCATCTATTTTGTCCTTTCCTGAATGCTGTTATCTTGACTATAATTGCCTGGTTTCCTTTCCAGCTGATCTATTGCTAGCCTTTATCTGGATGTGATTAAAGAATATAAATGCTCCATAAAGCACCAGAATCTCAGCCAGAATATTTTCAGATTCGCAGCTAAAATGAAATAGAACAAGGGGTTTAGCTGTTAAGTAGCTTAGATTTGTTGTCAGAGTGTGTGAGGGACTCTAAATTCATTATGCTAGTTGTTCCTACAGTGTAGCATTTGAAAAATAGCTTCCACTGTTTATGGATTGTGGTCCTCGGGCACCAGATAGTGGATGTTGGGATGTATTGCAGAAAAGCTGATTAAAGTACTAGGATCTCTAACTGCAAGAGTACAAAGTCGTTTGTAATACCTGAGTCTGGCACCTTTGGGTGTCATATGTTTCCTTTTGAAAGCTTTGGTTTATTATCAGTTTAACCATGAAGGAATAACTTTTTTTTCCCCCCAAGAAAAGTGCCTTTTGGAGAAAACATCAATAAGCTATACTAGATGAGAAGTTTATGTAAGAGGATTGATTTGAACTTTGAAGATCCCAAATTCTGTGTGATTTTATTTCTTAGGTTATTGGAATCATGCTTCACTGTGACTTTAATTTTAATAGTAGCTGCTTTCAGTTCTCAATTTCAGATTACTGTATCTCAGGAAATGTATAACTTACTCCAAAATATAAGCTATGCCAGAATTTATTGTCTTCACCTCCCATTACCCCCGCTTTGGGCCACTTTCCTCTCCAACAAAAAGTTCACTGGCATGGAATATAGAAAGACTTTAATCACAAAACTTTTACAAATCTTTAAATATACTTTGCATTCTCCTTGTTGAAATATTTCAGTATTTTCTCATTGTTTTCAAAATAAAGTTCAAACTTCTTAGAGTGCCATTCATGTGATCTTTCTGTTTCCTCTGTCTAGTTTTTACCCAGTTCCCTGTAAAATGTCCTTTTTTCAGGTTTAAAGTGGCCATTTCCGCTCTCATTTCTTTTCCTTTGGTTGCTTCCTTCTCCCCCACCCTTTATCTGAGTATCACCTGTTCTTACTTTAAAAACCCTGCACAAGTTTGCCCTCTTCCAGGAAACCTTCCTTGAACTACGATTAACCTGCTTCTTTTTTATCCCCTTTAGACTAGCCTTTAAACTCTATAGCACTCTGTAAGACTCATTTCCTACTCTCATCATTGGTTTACTTGTTTGTCTTGTTTAATAGACTATTATTCCTTCAGTTCAGAAATGATAGTGTCTTTTTCAGTTTTGAATCTGGCCTATAGACCTTTCAAATAAATGTTTTTTGACTAAATTAGTGACTTTTATAGTTAATTCCATAATTTCACTTACTTTGCTCTTGATTCTTAGGGCATTTTGAGGGTATGGGTTGAACCATTTTCTCAAAAGGATCTTAAATTGACTCACTCACTTCCATGTTGCCACCTGAAATATTTAATAAGGATAGATTTTTTTGTCTTTGGAAAGATAAGAACTTTATTTGCTAGGGGATTATAATATAGGTTTCAAACTGTCAATCAGTTGAAGAATCTGGGATGTAATATATGGAAATTGGAAAGGCAAACTCTTATTGTGAAGCAAGCATTCTAGCTTATTCACATATATTGTTGAACCCATGATTTCATTGGTATCTAAAATTCCTTTAGGAGAGAATAGATATTTAACAACTTTTTCCTGATTTGAAAATTACTGCTTTCAGTTTCTAGATTTTAATAAAATCTTAACCCAAGAACCAACAGAAATGTTTAAACTAAGAAAAAATTGCTAATGAAGGGTTATAGAATTTAAACATGTGCTTAATGGTCCTGAAATGTCCTTAAAATATTTGCATCAGTATTCCACATTCTGTAGCAGAGCAAACAAAATGCAAAGAAATTCATGTTTATAAGTGATAAGATTTTGAAAAGTAATTTAAGCTTATTTCTTAATAGAATTATAACATCTTAATCTAAAATTTTATTTCTTATACATATATATGTATATTCACTTAATATTTACCTTCATATAACTATTTGCTTAGACATTTTATATAATTATTTCTTTAATGATAATGCAAACTGAGTCAGCATATTATAGCTGAATCATGGTCCTCGCTGTTCTTTTTATTCATTCAGTGAGCAAACTCTATATTATTAAAATTCCTTGTCCTTCAATTGTGCTGGCAAAGACTTGCTTTTTAGTTCTTGAATGCCCTAAGAAATTTGTGTTGAAAATTCTGAAGTATATACCTATTTTCAGTCTTTGGTATGTTAAGCAATAGAATGGAAAAATATTATCCACATCTTAATAGATGAATGTCTGCTTGTTCTCAGAGACCCTAGTCTCCTTTTAAAAAAAATATTTTTAAGATTTATTTTGTTTTTAAAATTTGGTATTGAATTTACATAAAGTGTAGATTGCAGCATGCTAGAATATTATTGTCATTTAAGAACGTATTTATGGGTTTTTAGAGCACTGCCTCCAAGGGATTCTTAGCATTTGGTACGTACTTCACGTATTTCTAGTCTACAGACTTACCCTATTGAGGCAAAGGCTTCGTGATCCTGATTTTTTTTTCTACTGCTATAAAGCTCAGCAATGGTAATTAATGGTTGTGTGGGTTGTGTTTTTTTTTGTTTTGTTTTTTTTTTTGAAAAAAACTTTCCATGTCATTAAAGTAAAATTGAGGATTTTTGAAGACTAGTAATTTGTACCTTTAAACAGCCACATTATTTTGCTTTTGTCTCAGAATGTATTATGCTTCACAAGTATACTGTGACAGTCTGAATAGAAAAGGGGGGAGGGGACATTGTCTTCAACTGGCATGCTGTTATCAGAGGGAATGTGTTTCTGGACACGAGATTTAGCATTCATTGGTCGTCTGAAGAAAGCTATTTCATCTGAGGATTGGACAAGAAGCTGCGTCAATTTGCTGCCCGTCTCCAAGGCACTGGTGATGCTGCCTTCACAAGCTGGCTAACGTCACGGCTCCATCACCCAGCGGGGTGTGGACTCTCTTTTTCTGTTCTTCTCTATTTAATTCTCTATTTGCTGCCTACTGCATTTCTTAATCTGTCTTCTGCCAAATGCTAACAGCATGATATTTTGCAATCATCTAGGTGAATACAAGAAAGACGAACTCCTAGAAGCTGCTAGGTAAGTGATTCCATTCATTTTAAGTGAGTATAAGGCATTTAAGGGAGAAAAGGGGGAGGGCAGGTAGAGGACTATAAAAATTAAAGCATGTTATTGTCTTACTTGGATTTTATGCAATAATGTGGCTAAGACCTTATACTAAATCTTTGTATACTTTATTTTGCACAATTAGTGTATTAAATGAGACTGTCTTTCAATATGGTGATGATTGTAAGGTTAATTTTATTTGGAACATTTCTTAAGGTACCTGCAAACCCGAGTTGCCCAGCTTTTCGGTTCATATTCTAGGAGTATTTAAATAGCTATATCTGTATTTTTCTCTGGAAATTTTTCTAGCCAAGCTTGAATGAGGGGCATAAAGTAAATGTTAAAATTCTCATCCATTTTCTTTTGTTCTTGGTCATTTATAATTTAATTGATTAGCTTTTTAAAACATTTTGTAAGTATATTTAACTCCAGTGTTTTAGATCACTTATCAGACTAAAGTTTGTTTGTAATTAAGAACATGACTTTATGCAGATAAACAAAACAAATAATAATGTAGAAAGCTCCCTTATCTAAGATATATCACTGTATGATGATTAACAGGAATTAATTAGGAATGTATTGATTGAATTGAATGAAGTATAGCAAAAGACATTCATTCAGAACCATATAAAAGAAATCAAAGAGGTCATATGATTTTCCATCCTGTTGTGAAAAATATCCATAAATATTCATAAGAAGCACTGTAAATTTTATAGGAATTGACTTACTACCTTTTTGTAGGAGTGGTAATGAAGAAAAACTAATGGCTTTACTGACTCCTCTAAATGTGAATTGCCATGCAAGTGATGGGCGAAAGGTAAGTCATTTAAGATGTAAAATTCCCCTTCAATGATTTCTTTTTGCTTTACAGTTAAAATTTTTGAAGTTGGCATATATATGTGTGTGTGTATACATATATATACACACACACATATATATGGCTGCATTTCACTGGCATCTTTTCACTGTAAATGAAATGCTGTTATATCTGTTATTGGCAGTTGTGACATATTCATAGAGCTGGTGAAGCAAGGATTTTAAGCATCTTCTCTTAAATGTCAGACACTGAAAGTTATTTGTTTAATGGAACTGCAGCTTTTTTGGTGATAACAATTATAACAACATATATTATTTTCTGTGTGTGATAATGAAAATTAAAAATTTTTGTTTATGTCCTAATTACCCATCTTTGTTAGGATATATGTATTGTTTGTTTCTTTCTGACAGAGGAAAATTTGTTTACTAGACAACCAATACTTTTTCAAGCTGAGAAAATGCTAATGATTTTTCAGGTCTGTTCTAACAGCCCTGCTTCCCCCCCCCCCCCCTCACTGGCTAAGTTTTCGTTATTATATATTGAAAGAAAGTATATTAGAGCAGTGAAAAATACCTGTATTAATATACACTTGTCATAGGTAATATATGAAATGTGCAGTTGTTATCTTCATTCTCTGCTTCATATTCTTGCTGAATTTAGACTGAAAATGTAACCCTTTATAGCCTTTGGTATTTAACTGCAAAGTTTTGCAGTGGTTTACCTAAAAGTACTTTGAACTATAAAGTCTCTTTTAAATGATGATTAATTTTTTAATGTTAACGATGGCTTTTATATTTTTAAAACCTAAAACAATTTTAAAGTACACTGTAGACACTGAAGAAAATTATCTTGTACCTAATATTTAAATAATTAACTGCTTTGGAATTACTTATATAAAAAATATGCTATGGATGGTATCAGAAGGATGGTACCCCTTAGAAATAATGAACTGTTTTGCATTTTAAAAAATCATTTTTCTCTGATAATTTTATAGATTAAAATTATTAAGCTTTCCTTGACTGCCTTCACACTCTTATCCCTATTCTAATGAAATTCATATAATAGTGGCATTGAATTGAATCCTTCTGAATATGTTGTTATTGAAGATGACTTGAATATTATTTCGCATGACCTAACATTTACCCATCTAACATGTCTCCATTTATCTCTGAATAAATGGAGAGAGACTTCTACTTTCCTGGAAAGTTAAACTGTGTATAAATTAAGCTATAAATTAGCAAAGATTTATTCAGTACTATGAATGACTTTGGGGAGATGTTTTCAAATGATAACTGCTCATTTTCTCTTCAGTTTTGAAGTTGCTTTGGAAATTTTAACTTTCTTGAGTTACTTTGAGTTCCAGGTTTTGTTTGGATCCTCCTAGTAGATAGGTGACTTTTATCACTATGCAGAAAAAGACCGTCTTATCTGGAAGTGCAGCTATATCTTAAGACAGAATTCTCTGAGAACCCAGCCTGCTTCAGTTTCTCACAGCCGTTTTAATATTACAAAATTGATGTGAGATTACTGTAACAGGAGTCAGTTTCTATCCCAGCCTTATTTCTCCCTTCCTCACCCTTATACCTTGACAACCCTATTTCTGACTCAGTAAATTATAATAATTAAGGAGCGTGAACTCTGATAACTTACAAATTACTTCTTCTCTCTGCCTCAACCCTACACAAATAGATAGAACTTCTTTATTTTTTCTTCTCCCCAAAGGAGGAAACCCTTTCCTTATTCCTGTAGCTAAAACTAATACATTCCTCATTCAAATTCCTATGGTTCTTTTTCTGTATCACTCTGTGGCATTTACCACAGAGTTCTTGAATTGTAGTTATTCATACATATCTTTTTCTTCTACTCGTCTATTAGCTCTCTTTTGTACCAGACCATGCCTGGCACTTTGATGTAAAAAGCTTAGGCTACGAATATGCTCCCCAATGAACATAATTTTATCCTTCGAGTGAAAAAAAATCATCTGTACTCTTTGCCATATAGGAATTTAACTCAGAAGTGTATCAATGGGAAATTGTGTGTTTTCTGTTACTATATATTATTACTAATATTATTTTGTTAATTTATTTTTGAGTAATTATAATACAGGGGAGAATTATATATCTTAATAGGTAGAACATTTTAAATGTCTCAAATATTATTATTATACTGAAGTCTCGTAACATATAAATAATGCAATAATTTTCCAAAATGTGCTCCTATACTTTTTTAGATTATCGATTTTCTCAAAGTATCTAGAAAAAGAAAATTAGACTTAAGCATTTATTAGGTTTTGGTGCTATGCATAAAACATAAAAAATCATTCAATACTGTTCATTGATATGCAGAATGCAAATAAAATTTCATGATTAAAATTGAATAATGTGCGTATTTAGATATTACCCTACTTTATGGCACAAAGCAATTCTTATTAGATGGACCACTTGCACTGGAGCCATAGAATGGTAGATAATCTAGGTGCTGAGGGAGGCTGGGAAAAGATCCTTTAGCTATGAAAATCTCTTTGTTTTCTTGCTGTTGATGTCAAGAGAATGTGTAAGCAAATCTAGCTGCTAAATTACTAGTCTACGTGATATATTCAGTATTTTTCCAGGCCATTTAATTCATTTGTTTATCTAGAATTAAGGAAGTCAGATTGTATATTAACAAGAGGACACAGATGTTTTACTTATGTAGTAAGGTATATGAAGTTTCATTTCTTGACTTTGCATTTTAGAGCACAGTGCAGAATCAGATTCAGTTTAAAGGTTTTTAAATGACTGTCTTAATGCTTAACTGAATCTTTGGTTGGCTCTGTTACTATGATTCCTGGTTTGTAAATTTTAAAAGCCCATGGAAATGTTAGTTTTGAAATGTTTTTAGAAAAGAAGTGTTCCTTATACACTAACTAGTAGGTGGAGAAATTGCCAAGTTTTATGTGGGGGTTTTAGACTTCAGTATTCCTTTTTCAAGTAATATGTGGGCTTATACAATGACAGTGTAAATTTTAAATAGTCCCCTAATTCTATACTGTGACTTTTTGATTATCTAATTAAGTAATAATCTGAGCGGTTAAAACTTTGATTTCCAACAGACATTTGGTTTTCTAACCTGTAGAGTCTGAAAATAGTGAATAAGGTTTTAAGTAATTCGTATTGTTATATTTTATTTTACATGTTAATCAAAGCAGAGCTTGACTCCTCTAGAGATTTCCAGTTGTTGTTGTTTTCCCTAAAAAGCAAAGGCAAAAAAGTTTTTAGTGATGTTTTGTTTTAAAATGCTGCTTTCATTTAATTATATGTATATTCTAATGCTGGCCATTTTAGAAACATAGGACATTGATATAGTTAGACATAGCATTCCAGTTTCCTATTTTGAATTGTAGTGACCAGGTCCTTAAAACAGATTGCTTCCCTTCTATAATTCCTGTATTTTTGAACTTATGTTTCTTGTCCTTTAATCTCCCTTTACAGCATTTTCTGTCAAGATCAGATGTTTTATTAGCAATTATCCAAATATTCAAGTCTTGTTTGATATGTAAATTTAAGATGGTGGTCGTCTTATTTTTCAATATTAATTTTTATGAGGATTTTACAGTGCATGAAAATAAATATTTGAATACATCTCAAATTATTCCAACACTCAACCCTTTTCAGAATCCTTTTAGGTCTCTCTGTGTCCCTTTCCTGATTGCCTTTATCCCCTTCCAAAATAAATATCCTAAATTTATCCCCTCCTTATAACAAGGAATAGGTTGGAGTTTGACATTACTGCATGTATTCCAAAATATGTATCTTTGCATGTATTTTCTATGCCTACCATTGCTGTAACTGTACATCACTAAATATTGAAAGTAAGTAAAGTTTGGTTGGAATTTTTATTTTCATTATTTTCAGTGTGATTTCTGGTGGTTTCTCTCTGCTCCTTTTGTTCATTCAGTCAACACTCAATACATACCATGTATAGGTCACTATTCTAGTGTCATGGGAGCTAACTGTGTATTTAATATTATTGGTTCACTCGGAGTTCAAAATTGATGGAATGATTAAGATACTATCCTAGACATTGAAGCCAATGCCTAAAAATGTGATTCCTTTTGCTGTGATAGAGTTATAAAATGTAGATTTGAGGTGAGGGTTTTTTTCCTAGCTCTTTTATTTTGACGGCATTAGTATTTAGACATGTATGCTCTTCTGTAAGAAACCACAAATTTAGATGAAAGACAACTGGAGAAGCATGTTTTAAATTCAGAAAGATTACTGAAGGGTTTCTTTAAATGTCAGATTTCTACTGTGTAAATGTTTGCTTCCATAAAATAGTTAATAATGAATAACACTCTGGAAATGGAGAAAAGTAAAGTGTTTAAAAACTATTTTTTAATGGAGATCAATCAGAAATAAAGTAGAGTTTAATACCATCCCTCGAAGATACCATAAAAAACTGTGTGATACAGTTGGAAGAGCAAATAGGCTTTGAGGCCAAACAGATGAATTCTATTCTCTGCTTATCTACTTTCTAAGCGTGTGGCTATGGCACTGCAGTTTTCAGTGTATTCTTTACCAAATAGGGATAATGATGCCCGTTCCACAAGACATTTGAGAGGATTAAATGAAATTATGTGATTAATATAACCCACAGTAGAACTTCAGTAAATTAGATCCCCACTTCTTTGATAGATTTTTTAAAGCTGTTCAACATATTTAGAATGTACATATACATACTTTTGGAGCTTCCCAGGTGGCACAGTGGTAAAGAATCCACCTGCCATTGCAGGAGACTCAGGGGGTGCAGGTTCAATCACTGGGTTGGGAAGATCCCCTGGAGAAGGAAATGGCAACCCACTCCAGTGTTCTTGCCTGGGAAATCCCATGGACAGAGGAGTCTGGCAGGCTATAGTCACAAAGAGTCGGAGATGACTGAGTAAGCATGCACATACATACTTATGAGTACTTTAACATTCCCCAGTTCTCCACTTAAGTTGTATATTATCCAAGCTCAGTCCT